AAATTGAAACCGTCATGTTAAAATTGAAATTTAGAATGTTTAATATGTTTGTTGATGATGTTTGACCCTGTAATGTTTCATGAGTATGTATTTAGGTTGTGATCAGGTTCAAAATACGTGAAGCTAGAGATAATACAGACTTGTTTACAAAGCAAAGATAAATTAAAAGTTCCCTATAAAACCAATGCTATTTTCTCCAGATTCAGAGTTGTTTTTTCTGATCCTAAGACAGTCTAAATTAACCTTCTTAATTCTATTTCCATTCTTATTAATACTGTGTCTGACAATACTGTAGTTTATATTTATCCTCTGACCAGTCTTATGAAATACTGCTACCCTCTTCATTTTTTTTCAGATAAGAAAGAGAAAGATTAAATGACTCTCAGGCTTATTTCTTAACCACCTTCCTCTTCAACCTCTCCTTAAGCCCAGTTCCATTGTCTGATATTTGTCTTCTTTGACACATTTATTATTTCCCTCCTAATAATGTTTTTTAAAGAAATAATATAAAAACTCACTGATACTATCTTTTTTTAAATGACAGAAATCTGTCATGATGACTTTTCCACTTACATTAAGTTGAATTTTAAAGACAAGACTTGTAAATAGTGAGAATAGAAGAAAAAATATACAGACGCAATGTTCATAGAGGTATTTATCTTCTGGGAAATGTTAAAAAGATCACAATCTAAAATGGCATTTTTATAGCTCTGCTGTTTAAAGTAAAACAAGTGTCATAGAAAATTTCAATGATAGTAAGTTATGAAACTTGGGCCATTATCATTTATTCCTGCATTTATACTTCAGTTTTATTCATGTTTGATTAACTTCAGCTGGTTAACATCAACTTTAGTGCTATCTTATTTAGAGTTATTTTTTTACACATTGTAAATTTTTATTCTTTTGAGATTGCATAATAAGTTTTTGCTGGCAGCTCTTAAAAGAAGTAATTTATAGGGCTACAAAGGTATGAGTATTTCCTCAGCATGCCTCCCTCATATGTGGAGTCATAACATAGGAAATCCACAGCTCTTAACCCCCCATTTTATACTTGAACAACAGTGGGGGCAGAAGTTATATCAGGAGTGTTTTCAGTGGAGGTTGAATGGCAGAAGATCAAAGCTGGCATTAGAGAGGAAATCAGGTGTTAAAATTCCAATGCCATGTTGTCACCCTGGTGCAGAGGTTAGATAGACAAGTGCTGCTGAGGACAACTGTTCAGATGGTGAAAACCATCTGAACTGAGATTCTTCAAAAAAAGATCACCAAACCTAACATCATCTCCTGATTGCAAGGAGGAGGATACTCAGTATTTATGTAAGTGAAGCATTTATGCAGGATGAATTATTCTTTTTCCTTTTCTCCTCAGGACGGGTCAACTGAGAAGATATAATGGTTCATTGCTGCCTGTAAACCAATTCAGTCCAGTAAACCTGCAGAATCCTTCTCCTTTTAGTTAGGTGTTTTTGGGGTTTTCTTTGGCCAAATTAACAAACTGAACTGAACTCACCGAGTCAGATAGGCACATAAATTAACAGAAAGGAAGATGAAAGAGCTTGCAGTCCAGCCTGGGGACAGGGGAGGGTGATAGAGCTGGCTGTTAAGACACTCAAAAATGCATTTTCCATGCTCAACACCACACTACAGGTAGTGGGGACACATGCTATTCTTAAGGCTAACACTTTTCTTTTCACAGTAATTTCAAGACTGACAATCCAACCAGATTTCTAAACGTTACATAAAAAACCCCCAAACAAAGTGGGTAGGTAGCAGAGAGGGGAGGGAGAGGGAAAAGCCACTAGATTTGTAAGAATGCAGATTGTTCAGATGATAAAAACAGAGTTGCTGACACTCTCCTATAGGTAACAGAACAGCAAAAAATAATATCATGTAAATAGAAAGACTATCATTGTTCTTTTTAATTAATTTGTTATGTTGAAATTAAACCCACTAACAAAACACTGGGATATTGCCCTCTCTCATGCAAAACAACTACAAAACAGAATTATCATCTGTATTACACTGATTCATCAAAAAAATAAAGACTGAAAAAAGCGGATATACAGATAACAATTTCTCTGAAAAGAATTTAGATTTAAGTACCAGCATTAACCCAAATTTGTTATTGTCCCAAACAAAGCGAGCATAAAACACTATCGCTCTGCCAGTGTAACGTTTCAAACTTAATCAAGAAAACCACCTGAGCTAAATTAGATCACTGTCCACTTTGCTGTAATATTTGAATAAAATCCAGTCTGCTTTGATCTCAGTAAAACCGACAACCAATTCGAATCCACACCTATGTCAGTGACTATTGATCTCATATTTCAGGTCTTTCTTCAAGTGTTATGAAGGGATTATTGAAAGGATTATTTGAAAGGCAAATGAGCAGAAGATGAAAGTGTGCACATGACTGCCTGTTTAAACTGACTGGGCTTCTCCTGCTCAGGGTGACAATGAGGCAGACTTGGTGCTGTATGAACTGCCACAGAACAGAATTTTGTTTCCAGTCCACGCACTAATGGGAAGAATTAGTTTCCTTCTGAAGTCTCTCTTTTATTAACATAGTTACCCAGCATGTTACTTAGCTTGAGCAAAAGATTTCTTAGCATTAAAATGAATTTGTTTAGCATTCAGAAACAGAATTTTCGTGTGCTGAGATGTCCATAAACGGAGTAAGTGTGGCCTGTGGCTGCCTGCAATACCTTTATCTGATAAGTCTCTGGTGGCAGTAACTAATTTTACCTCTTTTCTTCTACCAGAATTTGTTTCTGGTTTTTTTTTTGTGTGTTTTGTGAGTTATTTTTTTCTTTTTTCTTATTATTAAGGTGATGCACTTTGTATATTCATTATGAAAATTAACCATTATCTATATAGCTCATCAAGGTTGCTCCAGTAAAAAAAATCACTGAAAGACACTTATGGTAGCTAAATCCCTGATTTAAAATATACTTTTACCTGCATTTCAATTTCAGATTTTATGGAAAAAATATACATAGGTTTTGGTGAAACTGTTGGAATTAGATATTGAAGAATCAATTATACTTGATAAAAGCTACGTAATATATACTTAGTCTATTTGATATCTTCAGGTTTTGTTCCTAATATGAATACAAGTCAAATGTTGCAGATGACACAGATGACCCCTTAAATGTTCATTACCCTGTCAGTCAGCAGCAGGGGAGTTTCTAAATTCAAGCAAACATTAGCTTATTAGTTGACGGATAAAATCAGGTTTTTCAGCCTGTTTAACACAGCCCACAGTTTCCATGCAGCCTACAGTAGCCTATGTAGGCCTCTACTTATCTCCCTCTGCAGATCACAGTGCAGCCTCGTTCGGGAGCCAAGCACATCTTACACTGTGTGGCTGATGAGTCATTTCTATTTCTCAGCCTGCTCTCGGAGTTTGATATTACGCACCATATGGCCACAGCCTTCACAAATGAGGTTTTAAGGAAGTCATCCGATGGCAGAATGGAAATGGCTTTGCTAAGCAGCAAAGCTGATAATTGACAGGAAGAGCTGAAAGTGATGGTTCCGTGAAAGAAAAATCCTGTATGATCCTGGTCTAAGTTCTTTGGCAGCATGAAAATGTTCTAATTTCTCTTACTGGTGTGGACACTTTAAAGGCAAACATACTTATAATGATGGTTTTTCATGCTTTTTGACTATTATTCAACCACTTTTTGCCCAGTAGAATTCAGTTATTTCTTGCCAGCCCTTCTACTACTTCACATGCACTTACACTCACTCCATCTTGTGTTAGGCTTTCCAGCAATTGCTCCTGTATCCCTAAACTTACTGTAATCTTGATTGTGAACTCTCCTGTTCCTGTGTTTTCTGGCCAAATTTTGTCATCTCAGCTACTATGCAAATGTTCCTACTTTGTCGAGTTTTATGGAAAAACTCATCTATCTTTCTCCATAAACCACCAAAAAATGCCTTTTTTATGGCTTCTCAACTCAGATTTTTCTTACAGACATGCAGAGTCTGAGAGGAACATTCAACATAAGAGATTTGTGTGGAAATCTAAGTATTTTTCAAGTTTATTTTTCAGTGAATACAGGAAGATAGACTTCTCTGAAGAATAATTAGGAGAATTTGAACATTGGGGTCTAAGGTTGCTCTTTGCAAGAGTCTTTGTCTTACAACTGTGAAGAAAATATTTTGACACTCGTGGATTGTGGGGGGATAGGATCATGACGGAAGGAAGGAAGAGAAAGTCACTGGAAATGGTACAATTACCCTCAAATCCCTTTCCAGGGAAAAAGATACGTGGTCATCTGAGAAGAAAAGCGTGCAGACTACGTTCCCTGGCCTCCTCATATATTTCCTTTCTGGTGAATATAAAGATACTTTCAAAGCACAGTTGAAAGGTAGCTTTCCAGAACGATTGTTAAAGACCATTTCTACTTCTAAGCACACAGAGAAAACTTTTTTTCTTACTATCTTTAAAAAACTCCAAACTTTTCGCTAGTAGTCATTTAAACATCACTTGTGCAAATTTGAAATTCTGAACTACTAATATTAAAATAGGTCTTTTTGAACTAACATTGCATTGCTGCTTATCATAATGTAGGGAAAGTAATTTCTTTCAGGCATTAACAACAACCGAACACTTTTGCTGTCACCTAGCGAGTGTTTATAGTGGTATTTTTTCCACCTGTGAGGCCATGAAGCGCAATTAACACTCATTCATCCAGAGTCAACACACAAAGGCTTAATCTTTGAGTAACAGAGCCACAATTTTAGAGAGGGTGACCATGGGTCTCATGTCTAATGGTATCCACTGTTCCAAAAAAGTCACCAACAGCAGATCATTGTCTTACGTGTGCTGAAGATACCTGACCGTGAAAATACATAAATCTGAGTCTGTTCTGTCTTAGCCACACAGTTAATACCATCACTGCAGCTGAATCCACAGACTGCTGTTACTCCATAATTCTTTGGTTTATTACCAATTTTTATACGGTTAAAGTTTTTTAGTGAAAGGACCTTACCCTTGCCTTCTGCTCCATTTCCATCATTAATCTTTCATGTTGTTCTGCTATTGCCAGTGTTGCAGAATGGACTTTCTGATATATCATTTCTCCTTCCCGTGTTTGAAACGTGAACAGCCCTTCTCCTGTGTCACACATCCTGCAGGGAGATTTAGGCAAAATGGAAAGAAAAAAAATGAATACTGTGTAATTTTTCCTAACTACTATAAAAAGTACACATCTCACAATGGAAAATGTCAACTTTTGTAGTTAAACTCTGAAATTCCAAACATTTGCAGTTTTTCTTATAATTGAAGACAGAAAAATTCCAAGAGATGGGCAGAACTTCATGAATGTAATCTTTAAATTCAGTTTTAGTCATCATCTGGACAGTGAAAAGCAAGCTTTAGCATGGAATAAAAACTTGAGGTAATAGAGTCAGTTATTACCAGCATTTTTCCAAATGTCTGCACTGGTGAGTGGGAAATAAATTATTTTATTCAATTGATGCCAGAAGAACATAGAACATCATGACTTTGAAAATCTGACATTTTAAAAGAACGCTGACCAATTAAAAATTCGATTATGGTTAATTATTACAAAGAAGCTGTATGGAAAGACAGCATTAAAAGGGTTAAACTATAACTATCTCAGTGAATTTATGTGAGGCAACATCAAAAGCTATGTTGATAATTACAAAAGCCATTCTACAAAAGTCTATTTGAGAATGGGAACAGTATTTCTGTCATATAAGAAGATAAATAACGAAAAAAATCCTCCAGAAACAAAATTTACTTTCTTCTTTTGAGAGAGCAACTGCTGTTATCCTTATCTGTGGTATCAGTGGGGTATTATTTTGAGGAAGAAGAGTAGTACTGGGTGATACAGGAAATGGGAATAGAGAATAATGTTAGATTATTGTTGGAGGGTGTATATGGTGTTAAAGAGTGCTGCAATTTGATGGATTTATATTAATAGTTCCATCATATTAGCAGTATCTGATTTCTGTATTTCTATAGACTTCTTGCAATTTTAGAAATGGAACTTCAAAAATCCTTTTTATTTGGCCTGATACTTCCAGTAAAGATTTTCAGTTATCTGTGACAGAAAATTGTTGACTTAAGTCACCGATGTATACCATGCTTCAACAATAGGAGAATTTAGATTTGCCTAAAACACCAGATTACTTTAATGTTTTGAATGTTTATATTATTTTTAGAATATCGAATTTTGTTAATATCTCAGCACCTTCAGCATGGTCCCAGAAAGTCTGAAACATACAGAATTACAAAATAGTTTATTAAAATATGTCCCAAATAGTCTAACATATCTTTAGAATTTGTATCCCAGATTCTGTATGATTATTCATACACTGAATTTTACAAAATATTTTCACATTAAATTAATTAATTTTTGTATATATATATATACACATCTCCTTCTATATTACATGCACACACACAATTATATTTCAGCTTTTAGGAAATGGAATAACTTTTTTAATGAGACTTATCTTTTTGTCAAATTAGAATACAGCTTCCTAAACAATTTTATTTCAAAAGTCATCTTAGCAGGACTGGGGTTCAGCAGTTGCTTTTGATTTCAAGGTTGACCAGTGAACATAAAATCTTATTAACACTTACAAAATGTTTCCCTGTTCACTGGAGGAGACATGCTGCTGTGAGCCTCCTACAAAGAACTTATGCATGCCTGTGTTTGGGAAGAATAAAAAGTATTGGAGGCAGAAAGAGTAAACAGAGGTACTTCTGGAAAATACCTGGTGGAAATACTTACAAATGATCAACTGAGTGTTGAAAAGAAAGTCATAGTCTTAAAAATATATAATTAATATTATCCGTATTGACATTATCCATAATTCTGGAATAAAACCCAGTTTTCTTCATTGCAAGATGTAAATAAAATATGATTCATTTTGTAGACAAGTACTACTTAATCAGTGTTAACATGATGTGCCAATTAATAGATTAAAACTAAAAAAGGTTTTGTATTAAATTCCAATGAGATCAAGATCCCTGCTGTAAACATTTAAGATATTTTATAACCTTAGCCACAGTCCTCCAAAGAGCTTCTGGTAGAAATAAATTGTCTCCAGAGTTTTGTGACATTATGGCAACAGCCTTTCATATCCCTCAGGGCATCATATAGCTGGTACTCTGCTTTTGTGTGAAAAGATCTTAATAAAATTCAAACAGCATGAAATGGAAAGTCTGGAAAAAATGATGGGGTTTCAGAAACTGAAGGAAAATATGATCTTTTTGTTGGTTTCAGAGGATGCAAAATCCTACAGGGATAAAAACAAGGAAGTGGTCAACTGGACATGATTAAAATTCAGGACTTAGCTGTATGTTTTCAGCATGCAAACCCCAACCACCACTGTTGCCGATCAGAGTAGGGTCTGCACTGCCAATGTGAGCCCTGGTGAAGGCAATGGTGTGGGGCTGTGGCACTGCCCTGGCACCTGACCCACCACTCAGGACAGTGCTGCAGGACCCTGCTTCCCAACCTCAACAGGTGGCTGTGGTGGACATGTCATGCCAATGTTGGAAAGCTGTTGATGGTAGCCTTCCCCTGTGGGCTTCCCTGGCCAACAACAGATGATGTGCACACAGCTGCTCAAAATTGAAGGTGGGGAGAATTGTGGGCCTCATTTCTTAAAGTGCTGAATTCCCCTAACTCGCTTTGAAGTTTAACAGGACTTGAAACCCCCCAAAATGAAGCAGTTGTTATCTGGCACATTTGAGCCAGGCAAAAGCAGCAAAAATTGTTAGCATAAAACTTTCTTTCATCTGTCTAAACTTATTATTTATAATCTGTCTCCCAAGGAGATGAATCCCTTTGCCAGAGTAAAGTTTTCCTGTTCAGTTCCTCGTAACACTATTCCTTTGATCAGATGAAAATCTGAGTTTAGACCTTCTAGTATAGTCTATTCTAGTCCAGTTAGTGTTGTCTTGTCTTTTTTCTGTTCTATTCTTTTCCAGTTACAAATCAAGATCAGTAGCATCATTAGGGTTACTCTCAGTCTTTCTAGAACAAGAAGCGCTCCTAAGTATGATGGAGATGGGGACAGGGAAAGGGGTAAGTGTGCTCTCCTAAGCTTAAGGGTCCTGCCAAAAAAGCAGAGGACCTTTACTTATCTGGCTAACAGGAATGGACAAGTCCACGAGCTGAAACAAGACTTCTTGTCTTGTTCTATTTATAGTCAAAACATAGTCAGTAAACCAAAAGCCCATTTTCTCCACAGCCCTCTTAGATGCCAGATAACTGTCCATATAAAGCTTCAATTTCAGGTTTAGCCATGCTAATGTGTTGCTTTATTACAAATAAAAATTAAATAATTGTGGGAAAATTCAAATTTCTCTATGTTCAAAGAACACATGGTCAATCAGTTGCCAACTTAATAGCATTTTCATAACTTTTAAATGCCCTAGAATCACTTTAGAGAAAAGGCAGGACAAAGGTGTGGACCTCTTATTTTCCTGTACTGTCACAATTAAGCAGTGCAGCTCTACCAACTCAGTATGACCTTCACTGTCAAAAAAGTCAATGATTTTGTATAGTTTAATTTTTTTATGAGAGACTTACAGTCTGCAGGGGCTTGAAAAATGCTGATCTATTTCTGTGTTTTTCAACTTTAAAACAGGGATGTCATTAACCTATGCTTTAGGATATTTAAGGATTCAATGCATTAAAATGTATGAAGTCCTTTGACTGAAATAGGAAAATGTGGGGGTTTTGCCTGTACTATTAGAGAATGATATAACAGGATAGACAATGACACCAGTAGATAAACAGTGTTGCAAATAATTGCAAATTTTTTAATTCTTAAAATGCTGCAACAGCTTTTCACAATCGTCATTGTTAGTAGATCTGGCTCAAGAGCCAGGAGAAAGAATAGTGATAAGGTAAGAGCTAAGCTTGTGGCCTAGGACAAGCTGGATTCAGAGATCAACAGTGAAATCTCTTGCTTTTATTCAAGGAGAAATTTCTGTTCAAGTCAAAAAGGTTTTCCCATCACTATTGTCAGATTTTTTCAACATTTCCCAAATTCATATAATGATTTCCCACTGCCTCTGCTCACTATGTAACTTCAGTCTTTTAGATCAGAATCAATGCTATATATTAACCTTGTAGAATTCCCTTCAAAACGGAAACTGTTGACTTTCTTGACCATCATTTAAAAATAGTACTTTTTGCTGAATAGAAGTTCATGCTATCATGTCATGATTGAAGTGTCTTAAAAGTTTCATAATGCAATATTCAGAAAACTGCATGAGAGGACAATAATTTGACATCTCAGCTTCGTTTCACTATTTTGTTTAAGGATAAAATGCATTTTCATGATAATGAAGGTTGTCTGAAAACTGAGATGCCCAGAAAAATTATTTCCTTGTTTTAAAATAAAAGATAACTTGCAACTGTAAGGAGAAAAATTTTAGCTCTTCATATATTTACATCTCATTTTTACCAACAAAAAATTTAACAAATGTTTACCAACAAATAATTTAGGATTAAAGAAATAATGTCTGATTTCTATACTCAAAAATTTATCAAATTACTTAAAACTAACTAAAAAAGGAACTCAAATAGGAACTGGAAAAACATACTAAAAATGTTTACTATTAATAACTGCTACTAATAACTATAGCTATTAATAACTAATACATAATAAATAACCACTATTTTAGTTTAGCATTTCTTGAAATAAAAATGGCCTTTAAATTTTTAAATGAACAGATCATGAACAGGTATTGTCCAGTAATCAGAGTGCTAAAAGTTACCAGTATGAAGCTGGATGCAATTGCTGTTGCATACTCCACACAGTGTGTGGGAAAAGTGATTTGCTTAAAACAGGGGAGCTGTTTACTCAGACACTTCAAGGAAATTAAGTTCACAGAATCAAAGAATCACAGAATAGTTAGGGTTGGAAGGGACCTCTGGACATCATTTAGTCCAACCTCCCTGCCAAGGCAGGGTCAACTAGAGTAGGTTACACAAGAATATGTCCAAGCGGGTTTTAAATGTTTCCAGAGAGTGAGACTCCACAACCTCCCTGGGCAGCCTGTTCCAGTGCTCTACCCTCAACCTAAAGAAGTTCCTCCTCATGTTAAGGGGAAAGTTCTTGTGTTTATAGCCATTGCT